TTTTTTTTTTTTTTTTGTAGAGACAGAGTCTCACTGTATCGCCTTCGAGTTCCATGGTGTCACACAGCTCACAGCAACCTCCAGCTCCTGGGCTTAGGCGATTCTCTTGCCTCAGCCTCCTGAGTAGCTGGGACTACAAGTGCCCCCCATGACGACTGGCTATTTTTTTGTTGCAGTTTTGCCGGGACCTGATTTGAGCCCACCAGCCTCAGTATATGGGGCCAGTGCCCTACCCACTGAGCCATAGACACTGCCCTCGCCCAGCTATTTTTTTGTTGCAATTGTCATTGTTTAGCTGGCCCTGGCCGGGTTTGAACCCACCAGCCTTGGTGCATGTGGCTGGTGCTGTAACCACTGTGCTATAGGTGCCGAGCCTATAAAAAATATTTTTATTTCTTCAATAATAGATTAACCTTAGTTTACTGTAACTTTTTTACTTTATAAATGTAAATTTTGTATAACACTTAGCTTAAACCACATGTTATATAGCTGTACAAAAATACTTTCTTGGCCATTGGCTTATGCCTGTAATCTAGCACCACTCTGGGAGGCCAAAGGATAAGGATCCATAAGGGTCCCTTGAGCTTAGGAGTTCACAACCAGCCTATGCAAGAGCAAGATCTTGCCTCTACAAAAAATTAGAAAAATTAAAAATAGAAAAAACAGCTGGGTGTTGTGGCGGGCGCCTGTAGTCCCAGCAACTCAGGAGGCTAAGGTCAGAGAGTCTCTTGAGCTTAGGAGTTTGAGGTTGCTGTGATTTACTTTGATATCATGACACTCTAGCTTGGGCAACGGAATGAAACTCTCTCTCAAAAAAACAAATTCCTTGCTTCATATCCTTATTCTACGTGCTTTTTTCTTTTAAACTGTTTTTCTTAAAAACAAAGATAGCAACACACACATTAGCCTAGGCCTGCACAGGGTCAGGATCATCAATATCATTGGCTTCTACTACCGCATCTTGTCCCACTGGAAAGGTCTTCAGGGACAATCACTCTCATGAAACTGCCATCTCCTATGATAGCAGTGCCTTCCTCTGGAATACCTTTTCAAGGGCCTGAGGCTGTTTTACAGTTAACATTTTTAATGATAAAAGGTATAGCAAATTCATAGATCAGTAACGTAGTTGTCTATTACCATTATCAAATATTGTATACTGTACATAATTGTATGTGCTATACTTTTCTATGACTAGAAGTGCAGTGAGTTTGTTTACACCAGCATCACCACAAACACGTTGCTTCGAGCTAAAACATTATGACAGCTGTATCCTCACTAGGCAATAGGAATTTTTTAGCTCCATTGTAATTTTATGGGATTACCATCATATATGCAATACATTGTTGGCCAAAACATCATTGTTTGGCACATGACTGTACATATATTGACAATCGTAAACAATATAGCAACGGTTTTGGGAGCAGGACTGATGCTTGTTTGCAGGCAAAGTTCTAATCATTAGAGAATGTCTTTATTCTTCTGCTCCTCCTCCCACCTTCTGAGGGTCCAATTGCACATATGTTAGACTATTTGACATTGTTTTACAGATCATCCACGTCCTTTTCTGATCTGTCCTTTCCCCCCTCACCTCTGGTGTTTTTTGTTTGTTTTTGTTTTGTCTGTGCTTCATTTTTGCTATTTCTTTCTATTTATTTGAACTAATCTATTTCTTTCAACTAATCTTTTTTCTACAATGTCAAATATACTGTTTTTAAAATCCAGATTTTATCAGATATTGTATTTTTCATCTCTTATATTTTCCATTTCTCTCATTACTATGTTCATGTCTTCTAATTCATCATCTCTGTCATTTTAGGGTCTGCTTCTATTGATTGATTTTTCTCTTGGTTGTAGGTTATATTTTTCTACTCATTGGCATGACTATAATTTTTTTTTCTTGAGACAGAGTCTCACTCTGTTGCCCTAGGTAGAATGCTGTGGCATCATCATAGTTCATAGCAACCTTAAACTCCTGAGTAGCTAGGACTATAGGTCCCAGCCACAACACGCATCTAGTTTTTTCTGTTTTTAGTAGAGACAGGGTCTTGTTCTTGTTCATGGTGGTTTCAAATTCCTAAGCTCAAGGAATCCACCCA